TCTCTCCTGAACTTGAAAATATGATTGGCAAAATTGTAGAAATGCTGGATTAAGATCGTCTAGGGCACAGGTATCAAACTCAGTTCCAAAAGGGCCGCAGCTCTGCACAGTTTAGTTCCAACCCTAATTAAACACACCTGATCAAACTAATTGAGTCCTTCAGGCTTGTTTGAAACCTACAGGTAAGTGTGTTGGAGCAGGGTTGGAACTAAACTGTGCAGGGCTTCGGCCCTCCAGGAATTGAGTTTGACACCCCTGGTCTAGGGGTTCGAATCGAGATCGCGATCTTTTTCAATTAATTGTGCAGCTCTAGTTTAAGGTAGAGATTTTTTAACACTAATCTAAATATAATAGTTTTAATAACTAGGGATGCTGAATAAGTTTGCGGTTCATTTCACTGTGGCAACCCCTGACAAAAAACGGGACTAAGCCGAAGGAAAACGAACGAATATGAAAAACATTGAATATTTTTTGTTTATTTTATTTTAAAAAATTGTGTTTTCAGTAATGTGTGTTTTTTAATTTCAAGGAGATTTCTCTAGTTATATCGTTTCAGTCGTTTATTATGCAGTGACATGCAGTCAAATATTTCGTTAAACAGTCCTTAGGGATGCGGTGACATGCAGTCAGATATTTCGCTGAACAGATCCTCCACTTTTGGCGCTCATAATCATAAAGCTCTTGTGCTGCAGGAATGAGGAGGTCTGCTGAAGCCGCGCAGCTGTCATGCTGTGAGGAGTTCTCGTCTTTAATAAACTACGGCAGTTTGCGTTCACTGAACAGTAAGAATGATTAAAAAATTCATATGAAACAGTCCCTTAAAAGTCACGTCTCGCTTTCAGTTTCGGGCTTTGGCTCGTTTTGCACTCACACACAAGTGTACCGCGTCAAAGCCCAAGTGAACCGCGCTCAAGCACACCTCTTCCAATCGGGCCAGGGCCGGCCAAGTGAACCGTGCTTGAGCCCGATTCAGCGCACTCACACTTCTCAAACGATCCGGGAAACGGGCCTGGGCACGGTACGGATGGCATAGTGTGAGTAGGCTCTTAGGGTAATTAGGCAAATCATTATATTACGATGATTTGTTCTGTAGACAATCGGTGCTAATTGCTAAAGGGGGCTTTATAACATTGATCTCAAAATGGTTTTAAAAAATTTAAGCTGCTCTTATTCTAGCAGAAATTTAAAAAAAAAAAAAAGACTTTCTCCAGAAGAAAAAAATATTATAGGACATGCTGTGAAAATTTCCTTGCTCTGTTAAACATCATTTGGGAAATATTTGAAAAATAATATCCACAGGAGGGCGGATAAGTTAGACTTCAGAGAAACCAATTCTAATTCAAAAAGCTAAACCAGTGCCTGTGATCAATCTAAAATCAATAAGCGAAATTGATTAAACTAACATCAATCATCAAGCAATCATTGATCAGAAATTGTTCTAAAAGATTTTGGCAGTATGCTCCAGCCAGGCTCCTGTCAGAGTCTAAAAACTCAGGATCAGACGGGTCGGGGTGACAGGTCAACCTTAACACAAAGACGACCCCTTTGACAACTACAAAGAGCTCCTTTCAGAGAGCATGACACCCATCAGCATCTGCTCAGTGTACTCTCATTCTGCAGATGGTGACGGTGTCAGGCGTTCCACACGTAAAATACGCAGGAGGGAAAATGGGGTTGATTTTGGCTGCTGAACTGTTAGCTTAGGTTAAACACTTTCACATTTTCATGGGGTAACAAACTGTACTTTACTCAGTCTTTGACATGTAAAATAATGTGGCATGCGTTTGGGTCTTGAAGGAATTCTTTACATAAAAGACAACCCAAGGGTCCTGACCACTTCTCTGGAACTTAAAAGACTGTTTGGCCGCATCCCAATATGCAGTTCACTGGTAAAAGAACTGAAAGGTTGAAACTACATACTGAACCATAATATTTTAATTACATTTTTACATTAATTCAGTAATCACTAGACCCACACTGCTCATTATTGAGTCATTTACTTATGTAAATGTGTATAAATATATAATTTTTTATATTAAGTTTAGTAATAACTAGGGATGTAACGGTATCAGAATTTCACGGTACGGTAATACCTCGGTATGAATGTCACGGTACGGTATTTATTGAATCATTTACAGGAAAAAACAAAACTTATGAAAATATTCCAAAAAAGTGCCAAAAGTGTCAATGACATACAAATTAGTCATTTACATTTACTTTACAGTACGCGCGCGACAACACAGCTGATAAGAACTCGCGCGACAACACCGCTATTCAGTACGCGCGCGACAACACAGCTGATAAGAACTCGCGCGACAACACCGCTATTCAGTACGCGCGCGGCGACAACACCCGCTTTAGGGTTTTCCAGCTCTTTTTGATCCCCGCTTCTAGTAGCACACTCCATTTCCGCATTACTGGATCTGTAGCGACAACAGACCGCAAGGGATTATGGCCAAGCCTGGGCTGATGGGAATTGTAGTTTCCGGTACCTCCCGTTTGCTTCATTCGCCTGAGCAAATTTTCTCAGAAGACCTATAGTTTTACCGAGTCATGCAACAACGGTAATATCGAAAAAAATTAATATTGCGGTATGACGGTATTTACAATACCGTTACATCCCTAGTAATAACATTAAATCATATGCAAATTTTGTATATGACTTATGTACAATTAGGGTTGTCACGATACTGGAATTTGGTACCAATAGAGACTGTTCATTCATTCATTCATTTCACTAAATCATTTATGTTCATTTAAGCTTAGTCCCTTTTTTATTCAGGGATCGCCACAGTGGAATGAATCCAGCATATTTTGCACAGCAGATGCCCTTCCAGCTGCAACCCATCGCTGGGAAACATTCATACATACTCATACACTACGGCCAATTTAGTTCATTCAATTCACCAACAGTGCATGTCTTTGGATTTTGGGGAAAACCAGAACACCTGGAGGAAACCCACGCGAACACGGGGAGAACGTGCAAACTCCACACAGAAATGCCAACAGACCCAGACAGGGCTCGAACCAGCGACCTTCTTGCTGTGAGATGATCGTGCTACCCACTGTGCCACCGTGACACCCACTAATCGATACTGAAATGGTAAAAACATCCATTTCCCTCTACTATTTGAGCGCGTTCTTAAACGCCGCTTATTTGCCATTGTGTCCATGTGCTCAACAGAAATGGCTGTGTTTGCCCGTAAAGGTCATCCGTTCAGCAAGCTCATCACTGTTTACCCAGTGTAACCACAGATACAGGGACACTGGAGCATTTTAAAGCCGCAATTCATCAGTGGATTGCTATAGACAAACCAGCTAATCAATGTGACTTTGAAACGCTCCAGAGTCCCTGTATCTGTAGATACACTCAGTAAAGAGTGGTGAGTTCGGTGAACTAATAATTTTCTCAGCCAATCACAGTGATTTCTGCGGAGCATTTGAACACAATGCCAAATTAGTGTTGTTTAAGAATACATTCAACTGAAATGATAGCTGGAAATGGACATTTTTTAAATTTCAGTATCGATTGATACCGAATCCCAGTACCATTCAATCATATGTACAATACAGTTTGTAATATTTGCTGTCGTTTGGTAGATATATTATATAAGAGACGTACTTTGCTTACCAAACAAGTGAATCTGATTGAATTTGCATAGTAAAACCATAAATAAAAGTTTTTTTTGTTTTTTTATTTCATGTGTTAAATTTTTGTTACTATTATTTTTTTTCTGCACAAGATTAGTAACAAAAAGGCGGCAGATTCTGTCTGACATCACTCCCAAACTGTGAACAGAATGACATCTCGAAAGTTACTTTTTCACTTACATCTCCATAAGAGTCGTCTAGTACGAGCCATTTGCCAACCAATTGAAAGATCTAAATGTCCTGGATATTAGGAATGCACCGATATGGATATTTTGGCCGATACGACAACTCTAATATCCGATATGCTGATAACCGATTTATTTTCTGTTTCCAGTGGTTCGCATGTTAAAATAAATCAGTATTTTAAAATGCTAAATCTGATGTGTCAGAGAAAAAAAGACACATCAATTAACTTTGTTATTAAATATTAATTTCATATTAATCTGAACAGTTAACAGTTTATATTTTGTTAATGAGCAGCGGTTGTCAATTGGGAAAATACCCAAATGTTTACACGTTATATACACGTTACAAAAAACACAACAAAACTCTAACAAACATCTACAAACATAAGAAATATAGTTACTTACTGAGATATTAAAACACAGCAATACCACACAAAACAAGAATGGACTTTGAAGAAATAAACAATGAGAGGAAGCTCCGTTACAGTGCACTGGACAAGTCTGAACAATGACCCATGTATATTCGGCTTAAAGGAAGATATCGGCCTAATTTTGACATCGGACCGATAACGCTAACATTAAAGATAGCATTCATTGGCTGATATCGATACGGCCGCTGATATATCGTGCATCTCTACTGGATATGACAAAAACTTAGTGAGAGTTTATTTTTATACCTAAAAAATGTCATGACTTTCCTCTAGCAGCTTCTTGATATTATTTAGCATGCACAAATCTAGCCAAGATGAACATGCTGTTTTAGAAATTTAATGAAGATATAGGATGAACGGGTGGATCAGTGGTTAGCACTGTCCTCTAACAGGAAGAAGGTCGCTGGTTCGAGTCCCGGCTGGGCCATTTCTGAGTGGAGTTTGTATGTTCTCCCCATGTTGGCATGGGTTCTCTTCGGGTGTATCGGTTTCCCCCACAGTCTAAAGGCATGCGCTATATGTGAAATGAGTAAACTAAATTGACTGTAGTGTATGAGTGTGTGTCTGAATGCAAGAGTGTAATTGGGCATCCGCTGCATAAAACACCTGCCGGAATAGTCGGTGGTTCATTACACTGTGGCTACCCCTGATAAATAAGGAACTGAGCCAAAGGAAAATGAATGAATGAATGAATGAATGATTACACCCAACACTGCATAAGAATAATGCTTACCTCGCCGAAAGCTCCTCGACCAATGACCTTCAGTATCTCGAAGTCCTCCTTGTGCAATCGCATCTGTTTCACTTTAGAGGTGAACGGTTTGGCTGGAGAAAAAAAAGACAGCATGAAGTTATTGCTGAAGACCTTCAAATCCATTACTTCTCAATGGTGTGCCATATTAAGGGCCTGGACTTCTCAAAAGGGATTTGTAGCAGTTTCAGTTACAGCACATAAGTCAAAGACTCAGAAGCATCCCTGGGCAGGTGTGAAGAACAGATTGATGATATACTGGAGTAAAAAGTTTTTAGTGCCATGATTGAGCTAAAAACCTGCCCATTGTAACTTATTCTTCTCACAGCAAAAAATTTAGGGCTGAAAAATATTGGAAAAATCTGATATTGCGATGTTTTATTTTTCTGCGATAAAGATTGCGATATGAATACAGTTTTCCGAGATAGTTTGAACTCTTTATTTTTCTAGCGAGTCTAACGAGTATTTAGTAGGAATGCACCAATCGCGATACTTCGATCGGATATTGCTTCAATAGCCCATATTTTTGCTGGATCGGTTGTCGGCCAGTTGGTACCGATCTTACACATGCACTATATTTTGTGCTTTTGCCATTTAAGTCATGAAGGTAGCCTATTATAAGGCACTTGAAAGTAGTCATGTAGTCCTACTATAATTCAAATGTTCTGAAGCTATTCTATAGTTTAATGTGAAGTAAAAAATTCTCCAATATTTTTTTATAATTTATAATTTTATAAATTTTATAATTTTGCATGAAATGGGTTAATTTTGACCTGCAACAAGTTCATTGCTGTTGCAATCATGTTGCGCTGTGTCTGTTAGACCAGCAGATCACATTCGCAACACCAGAACAGAGAGGGTTATACCAGCTCTTCTCACACAAAGTAGGCCTCCTTGAAATTTTAAATTAGAAAAGGCTCAATAATAAATCGGACAGATCCTCAACGCACTGATTTCATCCGTTTGTGCTGTTGTTTTGGATGTGTCCGCAAATGCATCAAGTGCTTCATTCACGCAATGGCTGCGAAGACGCGATGTGCGCCGCTCCGTAAAACTATTCTCACAATGTGTTTCTCTCATCCTTCCGACCATCCTTCAGACCAGTTCCCCTCGTTTAATATATTACTTCTGAGGGGAATACTTTCAGTGCTGCGAATAGTTTGTAAAGTCTGGCTCATTGTGGTCAAAGTAGTTGATTAAATTAATAAAATTGAAACTGACAGGTCCAATATGGATTGTCACTAACAACACTATTAAGCCGAATATAGGCTACTCTGAAACTGTAAATGTTTCACAGTCATTTTATTTATTATTTTATTTAACAAACCAGTTTTGAGTTTTGGCGCTGAAGTATATAAGCACACCTTGTTTTGTAGATAACTGACCAACTAAAATACATTATATTTCATTTGTTCCAAAAATATATTTTTTCAAACAAAAACAGAAATCCCATTGATTCTTTTACTAAAGACCATAAATTATTTGAGTTTTCACCAGAGCTATACTGAATTATGTTTAAAAAAATAAATAAATACATAAAACGGCACAGTATCAAGATCGGATCTGCATCGGTCCATACTCAGATATATGGTATCAAGATCGGATTGGTTCCAAAAGAAATGGTATCGGTGCATCCTTATGATTTAGGTACAGAAATTGAGCAATCACAATGCGTTGCCTTGTTTCTAGTCCAAATATCAAACAAATATAGATTTATTTTTCACTTTCAGAAATAAGTCAAAATTAAGTGAGATTTTCCTTAAAACAAGCTAAACAATCTGGCAGTGGGGAAAACAAAATAATCTAGTTTTAGGTTTGAAATGCAGATATTTGCACATGAAACAATACAAAAGAATATTCTAAAAAACACATTTTTTATAAATGTAAATTGACACTATATCATCTTCATTGTAGAAATAATTAAATGCAATTAATCTTTGTTACATGCACGCAAAATAAATAATTTCTTGTGTCCAAATGTTCTAAATTCTCTTGAAATGCTCTGTCACAGGCCTTAAAATCACATGCAAACGATAAACCTTCACTTTATTATGGGTAATCTTAGCAGTGACTCTAAAAATTCTGTGTTTTGTGGCTCCTGGTCAACTATAATCCAGATTCAACTTTGTAAATCCTCCGATGTGATTATTGCAGATGGGCACCATGCAATATCAATGCTGACACTATATATTGTGCAGCCCTATTGGGGATACTGTGCATGAGTTTTCTGCTATGGTCCTGGGAAAGAAATATCACAAGACTAAGACTTCAACATATCTTTTTGCTGTGGACTTGAATGTGGTATCAGACTCTACCAAAAGGGTAGGTTTGATTCCTTATGCATCTATAGGAAATGTATTCTATTAAACTGGAAACAGGAACACCCTCCAATATAAGAATTATTTAAAAGTATCATAAATGACACACTGCATTTGAATTATTTTGCATATGTTTTTAAAAACAAACACATTTTAAGAGCCCTGGAATATTTTTAAACCCTTTATCAACCCTTTGACCTGTGCCTACATAATATTGTTATCACAATGACCACTCATATGCTGTTATTTGATTTCTATCTGATGCTACTTAATGCTGAATATTCCTTTTGGTAACTTTACATTTTTCTTTAAAACAAGCAAAATTATACACGAATGGGGTATTAAATCTTTTTTTTATTGTATGAATAATTAAATTCAACATATCTTTGTTTTACCTCCAAATATACTTTTTGTGCCCAAACTCTCTTGAAGTGTTCAGTCTATGGCCTAAAAACACATGCAAATGATCGACTTTTACTCTGTTATGGCTAAACTTAGCAGTGACTCTACAGATCAGATGTATTCTGTAACTCCTGGTCAACTATAATTCAGACTCAACATTGCATATCTTGTGATGTGCAGATGCGCATATTGCGATATCGATGCTGAAATTATATATTGTGCAGCTCAAAAAAAAAAAAAGTATAAATATATCAAGTCAATACATTTCTTTTTATGACAATTAACACAATAACATAGCAAAAAACTATTTACAGGTGTTCTAAGTAGCTTATAATAAGCAACTTATAAGCCTATATTCTCATATTCCCCTGACATGCAATTAGAGCTCACAGGCAAACCAGTAAGTGTGGGTTTTATAATGAATTGCAGCACAAAACTTGTCATTAACCCTGTTATTTTGACCCTAGACTCTTAGAAATAATGGTCCATTTCCACTGAGTGGTACAGTATGGAACGGTACAGGTCGGTATGCTTTTATGGCCGTTTCCACTGTTAAAAGGTATCAAAAAGCTAACTGTACCATACCACTTTTTGGGTACCCTTTCCAAAGAGTACCTAGCACAACAAATAGATACCAAAAGGTGGAGCTAGACGTGCAGCTGAACGCTACTGGTTTACAGATAAACGTCAGTAGATTGTGCAAAAGCCAGGAGAATGAAAACGAAGGAAACGCCTTTTTAAATACACATCCGAGACATTACACTGTAATAATAAATACATATAATAATGAGCCATGGTCAACCCGAGCTCAAACAAACCTCGTCGTCATTTTAATAAACAGCCACAAAGCCAAGAAGAGCAGAATCTACATGTGTTGTGTTGTTGTTTAGAAGGCCGTCTAAAGCGCGAGCAGTTTCACTTTCTCCAGAAAGCTCGCGAGCACTCCCTGTGCGTCTATATTGAAACAACAAACGTCTTGAGCTGACAATATTAATATGCGAGTGATTATTAAAGCACTTCTGACATCTGATCTTTCCAGAAACAGACAAACGTGAGAGTGAAGCGCGAAAAAACTTGCGAGAAGCTCAAGAAAAAACAAAGGAGCAAATGATTCTTTCAGCAACCTAAAAGATAAACAAACTGCCATGTTTAACTATTACCATCACATTTTGGACTATTATGAACTCGGAATGACAAGATGTTAACGTTACATGTGCTGATGAAGAATAAAGATGAGAGGTTTGTACTGAACTGTGTATGTTTCGTATTGTTTATGAAATCAAATGTAAGGTTTGGGGATTTTATTTGTAATTGGTAACATTTCAGAGACTGTAAGGTTTTTTATTTTATTTTATTTTATACAATCGTAGATGTTACAGTGGGCAATTTTTTATCATTGATCTGCAGCTAAATTAAAATCCTATTCATAGAAAGGTTAATAAAATACATTTATTTATATATAAGTATTTATGTAAAGCATTTGCTTAGTAATAAGTGCTTCTCGTATACGATTTGTAAACTTCAAGCGAAACAGACGTCCACTGCAACTTTGTCAGACACCACACCCACCAAAAGAGTACCATTGGTACCCTTTGGCAGTGGAGACACAAGTCTGATAAAGGTGACCCATACAGAATCGTACCATACCGTACTTTACCACTCAGTGGAAACGAGGCATTATAGGCCTATATTCACTATATTCTCTTGGCACCCAATTAGAGCTCACATGCAAATCAGTAAGTGTGGGCTTTTTAATGAATTGCAAGACAAATTAGCCATTAACCATGTTATTATGACTGACTCTGCATATCATATCAGAAATAAAGGTACAAGATCTGTCACTGGGGTGGTGCCTTTTCAAAGGGGACACATTTGTACTACTTAAAGGGTCTATATTGGTAACTCAAAGGTATGTATTATTACCAAAAATTTCAAAAGGAAAACATTTGGGCTTTTTAGGTATTGATATGCACCCTTGAGGTATTAATATGGACCCTTTGGGTACAAATTTGCACCTCTTTAAAAAGTGCCACCCCAGTTTTCTGAAATTGTGACAGAGGTGTTTGTATGTAATAATTGTGTTTATCATAATTGTGCATAATCACAAGCTATAAATAGCAAGTATTATTGGGGCTACTGCAAGAACACTAGACTCAATGGTTTTCATTTTCAGTGTCTTTCCAATCTCATGCATTGAGAATTAATTATTGCTTTTGTACCGTTTTATAAAGCACGCATGAGGATGTGCAAAGGGTTCCTATTAAAAGATGAAGAGCATGCACACTCAACTTAAGGCTGCATGTGATTGCAATCCAAATGGCCAATGTCAATTAAAACTTCTCAACTGGAATTAG